GGTTGCTGGGAATTGAACTCAGGACCTTTGGAAGAGCAGGCAATGCTCTTAACCACTGAGCCATCTCTCCAGCCCTCTCTGTAGCTTTTTGAGCCTGTCATGGAACTCAGTCTGTAGACAAGGCTGATCTTGAACTTACAGAGATCTGCTACCACTGCCTGGCTACTCCAGGCTTTGCCTTCTCCGCAGGCTGCTGATGGGCAGAAATCCTGTGAGCCTGGGCTCCCTGCGGGACAAGGTGCTGCTCATTGAGAATGTCCATCCCTCTGACACACTACGACCCCTGACTATACCCAGATGAAAAATCTGCAGAGACACTTCGGGCCGTGGCCTGATGATGCTCCGTTTCTCGTGCAATCAGTTGGGACTGATTGAGAACGAAGAGATTCTGAATTCCCTCAAGTATATCCAACCTGGTGGGGGGTTCGAACCCAACTTTACATTGTTCGAGAAGTGCGAGGTGAATGGTGAAAAGGCTCACCTGCTCTTTACCTTCCTGCGGGAGTCTTTGCCAGCGCCCAGTGAAGATCCCACTGCGCTCATGACCGACCCCAAGAGCATTTGGTCTTCAGTGTGCCGCAACGGCATTGCCTGGAACTTCTCGAAGTTTCTGGTGGGCCCAGACAGTGTTCCAATGCGCAGGTACAGCCGCTCTTTCTCAAAATCGACATCGAATCTGACATAGAAGCCCTACTGTCCCAGCAGCCTAATGGCTCCTAAGGCGTTCCTGGCATCCGGGGTTGGTGATCACTGGCTGCACTCTGGGGAGACTTCTTCCATGATGGTGTTTTCTCTAAATTTGCATAGAGAAACACCTGATTTCCAGGAAATCCCCTCAGATGAGCGCTGGTCTTGTCCATCCCTGCTGCCTTTCTGCCTCAACAAAGGTGATTTTCACCACTAATAAAGTGCTCAATGTCAAAGAAAAAAAAAGAAATAATTATAATTCATGCTACAGGCTCATTTTTTGAAAAAAAAAAAAACCTTGTAGAAAACTATTTCCAGAACTAAGTATTTTTGAGTAAGCTCTCCTTGAATAGTAATTGTGGTTTAAATGAGAATGGCCCCAGTAGGCTCACATAAATACATGGTCCTCCATTGGTGGCACTGTTAGGCAGAGATTAAGAAACAAGTCTTTGTTGGAAAAGGTGTGTGACTGGGGGTGGGCTTTGAGGTGTCACAATTCCTAGTTACCCATACCTGTGCGTATGGGTCAGATGTAAGCTCTTAGCTACTGCTCACTGCCATGTCTGCAGCGAGCTGTCATGACAGTCATGGACTCAGCATCTGAAACTGTATTCCCCAGCAAACTCTTCCTTCTATAAGCTGTCTTGATCATGGTGTCTTCACAGCAATAGAAAAGTAACAAAGGCAGTAATAGAATAAACATTCAAAATTTTAGAAGCTGAGTATACCTCTAACATTAGAATTTCCAAAGCAAAAAGCAAGTGACTGGAGATTGGCCTCATGGTGACGAGCACTTATGCTCAATCATGAAGGCCTGGTTTCGGTCCTAACCTGGAAGGTGGCTTACAGATTCCTGTGACCCAGATCCAAGGGATCCTGTGCCTTTTTCTGGCCTCTGCAGGCATCCACATGCATGCACACAGACACAGACATAAGAGCATATGTGCATAAATTCAATGAAAAACTATTGTATAAAGCAAATAATGACCCTAAGAACATACTGGATCTTTAATACTACTAAAGTTCATGGAAACGTTAGAATGCTTTCCTCAGCTGCCCCTCCTGGCCTTTCCCACAATCTATAATATTGCCCATTAAAATAAAAAAATCTATCTCCATTTTCTATATCATCTCTGTAAGTCTATCATTAATGTAAAAATCAATGTTAAATAACCACATAATTCCTTGAAGTCTATAGTCCATTGGTATGTCAGTTCTTTAAAAACTAAATGTAGAATTAAGATATAATCCAATAAATTCCACTCCAGTGACACACTCAAAAGGACTGAAACCAATGACTTAAGGTTATTTAAATACTTATGTTCACACCATCCCCTTTCAAAACACCTGAAATGGGGACGCAACCTAAGCACCACCAAGACGAACAGGTGAAAAAGTAGTATAGATGCCTGTGATGATTCATCTTCATTATCTACTCTGCTAGGTTTACAGTCACCTTAAAAAAATCACCTGAGTGTCAGTGTTTCCAGAAGGTTTAACACGGCAAGGAAGACCTACCCTGAATGCAGGCAGCACCATTCCTTAAGCTGAGGTCATCCCCCTCTGCTTTCCAACCGTGGGTGCACAATGACCAGCTCCTACATGTTCCTGCAGGTATCTCTTTCTGGCCATGATGGGCTGTCCCCTCAAACTGTGAGAAAACAAGTTATTCCTCCCTACTGGTGCTTTTGTCGTGTCTTTTCACAGGCATGAGGAAAGATAATTGTTAAAATACAGTGGGACACGACTCAACATGAAAGGGGAAGAAATTCTCACACATTTTCAACCTCAGAGACAGAAATGAAACAAGTCAGGCTTGAAGGCCACTGCGGCTGTATGCACACGGTGGTCAGATTCCAAAAGACAGAAGTGAAACTGTGGTTGCCAGAGGCTAGGATAAGGGTGTTTATCATTGTTTACCATGTCACCTTTGAAAGCTGAAAGCGTGTGGAAAGGTTGGTGGTGCTTATATATCTAACAATGGGAATATATTTCATGCTGCTGAGCTGGACATCAAAAAGTAGCTAAAACTGTAAGTTTTAGTTACTTGTATTTCACAATAAATAAGCATACCTAAACCAGTCCATGAACGCTTGGGGATGTGTGTGGGAGTGTCATATATCAATCTGTTGATTTCATTGGTTAAGTAATAAAAAACTGCTTGGCTCATAGCTTAGAACATAGGTGGGTGGAGTAAACAGAACAGAATGTTGGGAGGAAGAGGAAGTGAGCTCAGAGACTTGACAGCTCTGCTCTCTGGAGCAGAGAGATGGGATGCCCCGCTCCCAGGCAGACGCACACGATGAAGCTCCGACCCGGGATAGACGTAGGCCAGAATCTTCCCGGTAAGACCGGTGCCCACTGATTATTAGAGATGGGTTGATCGGGATATCAGAATTAGCCAGTAAGGGCTAGAGCTAAAGGACCAAGCAGTGTTTAAAAGAATACAGTTTCCGTGTAATTATTTCGGGTAAAGCTAGCCGTGGGGGCGGCCAGGTGCCGGGGACACAGCCCCGCCACTCCTATTTCAACAGATGTGGCCCAGAGGTAGAGTGCATGGACATGCAAAAGTCCTGGGTTCAATTCCCTCAGCAAGGGGGGAAAAAGACTACTCATGTGAAGATCTAACATTCTGTACCAGAGTCAAGGGAAAGTATCACCATTTTAATATAAATAACAATAAAATAACTAATAAATACAATTAAAACTTAATAGCATGGAGGGCACAGTGTAACCTGTAACCCCAGCACAGGGGAGGGTGAGGCAAGATGATCCTACATTTGAAGTCTGTCTGGGCTGTACAGAGTGACATCATCAAGAAAAAACCCAAAAGTCCTACACCTTTCAATGAAAGTCCTAACCTCTCAAATAAAAGATTAACAGCAGAAATTGATCCATTTTCTAAAACTACTTACAAACAAATAATACAACATATCATTGCCAATGTCTATTCGATTAGATTGAAAGATTTAATTATTAATTTATAATGCTTAAGACAGCATGGGCTTGCTGGGCGGTGGTGGCACACGCCTTTAATCCCAGCACTCGGGAGGCAGAGGCAGGCGGATCTCTGGGAGTTTGAGGCCAGCCTGGTCTACAAGAGCTGGTTCTGGGACAGGCACTAAAGCTACAGAGAAACCCTGTCTCAAAAAACCAAAAAAAAAAAAAAAAAACCGCAAGACCAATAGAATGTAACAGAGTTGTGCAATAAACCCTTCAAAACATGGTCAGTTGATTCTGAGCAATTGTGCAAGGGCAATTCAACAGAAAGGGGTAGTACTTTGAATTAATAGTTCTGCAGTGACTGGATCCAATGAGAACATATACCTTCCTCAGCATTCTAAACTTTATATGAAAGTTTGCTTAAATCAATTGCACTTTAAATATAAACTTTAAAATCTTAAAAGAGGGAGCCAAGGACATGGCTAATGGGTAAAGTACTTGCCGCACAAACGCAAGTTCAATGTCCAGAACTCACATGTAAAGCTGAGTGTGCTAGCACATGCTTGTAATTCCAGCTCCACAGAGGCAGGGGCAGGCGGGGTCCTAGGCTGTCCTGTCCCTTCACCTATTCTGTTTGGCAATTTCCAGACTAATGAGGAACCCTGGATCAACAACAACAACAAACCAAAAGATAGACACATAGATGATAAAGAGATTGTTCTGGAATATTACTTTACACCGTGTGAAGATATGTCACTGTGACTAGGCAGGATTTTTAGGGCAGAGAGAATGCTAGGAAGGGAGAAACCAGACAGATAGTAAGACAAGCAGGAGGACAAGCAAATGCCACACATCACGTGATGACACACAGACGAATAGAAGAGGGTCAATTTAAGTTATTTAGCTAGTGGGACAAGCCTAAGCTATTGGTTGAGTTTTAATAATTAATAATAAGTCTCCACGTCATGATCTGGGAGCTGATTGGTGGGACAGAAAAAAATCTGCCTACAATAGATAGTTTGAAAGATAGACAGACAGACAGACAGACCAAAAAGAAAATAGCTCCTGAGGAAAGAAAACTAATATTACCCTCATCCTATGCCTCCATACAGGCATAAAGGCCCACCAACACATATAAACATATGTATACACAAGAATGAACACACATACACAGATACATTATTCTATGTGAAAGGTTCCAGATTCAAAGGACTATAGTCTCTTTGATTTTATTTATACGACATTATGTTGTGTGATGAAGTTTTGCCTGGAGAGATGCAGCACACATGTCTACTTACCTCAGATAGGGAACTCACGTCAGACAAAAGTGCAGACCACCCAAGTCCAATGTAGAAAACTAAAGCGTTTAATTAGAGTTCCTTAGAGGGATATGGGTGAGGGGTTACTTACAGGAGCAGAAATAACTCAAAGACAAGTGCATCATCAATGCCCACCCCAGCATGGGAAGCAGCTCACAAACCTGGGAACACAGAGCACACTGCACAGCCTGCAGGCAGTTCCACATGTTGGAGAGCGCCCTTCCAGGTGTCTCAGTTGTCCAACCTCTTCCCTGCAGCTCAGCAGGTTCCTGTCGCTTCTATGCAGGTGCTCTGGTGTGAGTCTTCTTTGCAGCTCGTTTGGGTCATCTGACTATCTTCTTTGCAGCTCAAATCACCTTTCCATTTGTGGGGGACTCTCAGCTTCTGCTTACTGAGACAGGGGAATCCAGTCAGTTTCAGGGACTTCCTAAAACTCTTTCCTGCCTAGGGAACTTCCTGTAGATGAAATATGTCAACCTTGGAGGCAACTGTGGCACACACAGGTAGGATTTGCTGAAAGAGGCAGAGGCAGGAGGATCACAAGTTCGAGGCCAGCCTGGGCTACACATTAAAAAAAAAAAAGAATAGGCTTCCCCAAGTTGTGAGGCCTTATTTTAAAACATTAAAAAACAAAACACACATTTATAAAGATTACAATTTAACTTTCCCCCCAAATCATTACGATTACAGGATTTGTTGTGACCTATAGTATAAGCAGCTGTCCTCAGCAGTGATATTTGAGCCATGCCCTTGATTCAAATAGAAACTAAGATACGAGCTGGGTTGGTGGCATGAACCTCCAAAAAAAAAAAAAAAAACAACAACAACAAAAACCTGTATTCATGTATTCAGAAGCCTGAGGCTGGAGGATTACAAATTTGAGACATTCCTGGGCTACAAAATAAAATCCAGCTTCATAAACTTAGAGGGTTCTGGCTAGATGGCTCCAAGTAGAGTTGGCAAGCATGACAACCTGAGTTTGACCCCGAGGGTCCACACAGTACATAAGGAGGAGAGGACCTACCCATACGAGCTGTCATCCAGCCTCCACAGGTGGCCTGTAACACAATAAATTAGTGTTTTAAAAACCATGTAAAACAACAACAACAAAAACCCTCCAATCGACTAATAGTTGCCTGGCAGGGCATTCGTGACCCTTAGTGAGGTGTCCTGTTAACCAGCCATGCTACCCACAGGAGCACTCATTGGGCTGAGGAGAGGTGGGCTACCTAACAATGCCAGTAAGATCCCTGGTCTCTCTAACTTGAGGATAGATTCAGTGCCATCCACTGTAGTGATATCTTGTTTGTGATCTAACAAAGCCTGCCTGAAGATCAGAGTGCAGAGCTAAATCACTAGTAAGTTACAGAGGTGGTGGTGGCACATACTTTTAATCCTAGCACTCAGAAGACAGAGGCAGATGGATCTCTGTGAGTTCAAGGCCACCCTGGGCTAAAAGAGATTGAATCTAAGAGAGAAACAGAGCTCACACAAAGATGATCCCAGTACTTGGGATCACATGCCTTTAATCCCAGCACTAGGCAGGTGGAGACAGAAGTGATGTGGCTGGGTGGAGAGAGCGATATAAGGCAGGAGGAGACAGGAGCTCAGATGCAGTTTGAGGATTTGTGGAGACAGATGTAGTCTGAGGAGTGAGTCTCAGATGCAGCCTGAGGATTCCTAGGGACAGGACCTCCCCTTGGTCTGAGCATTGGTAAGAACTCTCTAATGGCTGCCCACTCCGCTTCTCTGATCCTTCAGCTTTCACCTCCTGATAGCTGACTCCGAGTTGTAGTGATATTATGTTTGTCTTAACAAATAAAGCTTCCACCGGGTGGTGGTGGCGCACGCCTTTAATCCCAGCAGTCAGGAGGCAGAGGCAGGCGGATCTCTTTGGGGTTCGAGTCTGGCCTGGTCTACAAGAACTAGTTCTAGGACAGACTCCAAAGCTATAGAGAAAACCTGTCTTGAAACACAAAACAAAACAAAAAACAAACAAAAAAAACCCCCCACAACCCCCCCCCCAAAAAAACAAATAAAGCTTCCCTGAAAATCAGAACGCAGAGCTAAATAAAGCCATTACAGTGTAGAGCTAACCCAATTTATTCCCAGGACTTGGGGGACAGAGGCAGAGGAATCTCTGTTATTTCAAGGCGACCCTTGACTAGATAAGAATGAATCTGTCTAAAAGAGAAACAGAATCTTGAAAAGGTGAGCCCGGCACTTGGGATCCCACCCCTTTTATCCCAGCACTAGGGAGGTGGAGACAGGAAATGATATGGCTGGGTGGATAAGGCAGGAGGAGACAGTCTGAGGATGCAGTCTGAGGACATGATCACCCTTTCAGTCTGAGCACTGGTAGAGGTGAGAGTCAGGTATTAGCGGTGAAAGCTGAGAGATGAGAGAAGCAGAGTGGCCAGCCACTAGAGAGTTCTCACCTCTACCAGTAACTCAGAAGGGCTACTAATTGGATCATCCTGCTTTCGCTTCCTGAGTGTTGTCATCAACACATTTCATGGCAGCCTGAGCTACAGAGCTATCTGGTCTCAGAAACTACAATGCACCTTAGTGCAACCTCAACACAGGGCTTCTGCTCTAGAGTGTCCCACTCCTGCTTGAGGGAGGATGATCTGGGCACTGAAGTTCTCTTAAGCACCCTTCTGTGGGATCAGGGAGTAAGGAAAAGGGAATGGGAGAAAATCCCAAGAAGGAAAGTGCACACACAGAGCCCACTTAAACCCGAGCCTGCTGACACCACCTACCAAAACCTCCAGCACCAGAGGACAGCACATGCACCTTGTGGGACCTGACCTGGGGCCTCTCCAAACTCAGGATGCTGAGGATCCAGACAAGGGTCTCCTTAGCAAAGAGCTCAGCTCAGGTCACTCAATGTTGGACAAGGAACTGTCGCTTGTGAGAAACAACAAACAAAAATCAAATATACTTAATCTAAGAAATGTCACATAATATTTAAAATATTATAATACATACCATATAAAACATTATTGTATATGTTTATATGATGTGTTGGCTTCTAGAATATATTAATGAATTGTGTTATTTAGGAAAATTTTAATGTTTTTATTAGCATATATCAATTATTCATAACAATTAATTTCATTACATTTCATGCAAGTACATTTTATGGTCACATTAAAATATAGACTCCTTCATGGATTTGTGTACATCCTTGTACAGGGACCATGTTAATCTATTTGTTGTCTAAATTTTAGTGTTTGTGCTACTGAAGCAGGCACACAATATATTTGCCATATTTATACATATCTGTCATTTTCCTTAGGTCTTCATCACCCTCTTCTCGATATCCTTTCCCAATTTTCCACCTCCTCTTGTTAACCCCTCCCTTCCCTCACACAATTCCTCTTCTTCTCTGAGGGCAGATGTATTATTCTACTCACAAACACACACTGTCCCATCGTTTCCTTTTTTCGAGACAGGGCTATGTAGTCCTGGCTATCCTGGAGTTCATGATGTTGACTGGGCTGGCCTCAAAATCACAGAGATCCACCTGCCTCTACCTCTTGAGTACTGGGATTAAAATCGTATGCCATCCCACTTGGCCTTCAATCATTTTCTTAGGAAATTTTTAGAAGAGAAGATTGAAAATCACCCTAAAATATTATTCTCAATGATTAAGTCTGAGGAAAAAATATTTCTCCACAGAGGAATTTAATAGTGCAGCTGTATTCACGCTGGTTTTTTTTTTTTTTTGACAAAGAGATTTTTAGGTACTCCTAACTTTTCAGATGTCATAGTAGAAATTTCTGGGTCAAATTTGACATTACCAGGGGTTCTAAATGTAGCTACAATGTATTTCACACTGAAAGCTTATAAACTAATTTAATAAGTAACTGGGGTGAAATCTTTACTATGAATTTATGAAATGCTGTTTGTTAGTAAACTCAACATCACTAAGGTTCTGGGCTGTGGGGTACATATGGGGCTGCTTCCCTGCACTCCTTTAATACCTGCAATGTGGATTTGCAGGAGCACACCAAGATACAAGTGCGCTGTAACCGATGAGAACCAAGAACTTCTCGTTTTGAGACCATGTTTGCTTTTTGGTGACACCGAACCTAAAGCTCCCTGTGAACAAGTAACTTAACCGCATTTTTAGAAAAGCACATACACTAAGCAACTCTCTCTAGTGTGACCAGCTTCTCTTTTGCAATCCCGGACATTCATCAAGAACACATATAAAAATCGTATTCCTAGGGCATTTGTAAGCAACTTAAAAGACTTGAAGAAGAACTGGTAGACATAAAATGTTGTTATAAAGAAAATATAGAGATGGGGCTGGAGAGGAGGCTCAGCAGCTAAGAGCACTCACTGCTCTTGAAGAGGACCTGAGTTCAAATCCCAGTACCATGTCAAGTGGCTCACAATTGCCTGTTAACAGCAGCCCAGGGGGAATTTGAGCAACTACAGCAACTGCACACATGTGCACGCATGCACACACACATACGAAAAAGAAAAGCCACATAACAATACACATCTGTAATCTTAGTGCTGCGGAGGTAGAGGCAGGACCAGGAGTTTACCATCACCCTTGGCTACAAAGTGAAAATAGCCTGTTCTTAAATACACTCTGTCTTAAAAAACAACAACAACAACAATAAAAAACAAACAAAACCATAACAAGTAAAATAAACAAAAATATGGATGAGAGAAAAACAAGAAATCTATGAAGGAGTGTGTCAAATAAAAACCAACAAAAGTGATGAAAAGTTGGAAAAGATCAAATTTAAAAGGCAATATCTGTAGAAAAAAGATGAAAATAGAACAAAATATAATTAGAAAGCAAGATAAATTTAGTAAACTGAGAACAGATGCTAAAAGAGAATTTTTGAACATGACCAGCAGATAAAATGTCATTTTCTATTTTTAGATGTGATCTTGCTTTGCTGACCAAGCTATTGTGAGTTCCTTCTACCTCTCCCTCTTGAGTGCTGAGAGAACAGGTGTGTGCCACCATACCTAGATGAGGAGACATAGTTCAAACAAAAACTAACTGATATCAAAGCAAGCACCAGTGAGAATGGTGAGATACAATATTTAAACAGCCCATGTATATAAAATAGTCTATAGGATACTGAGCAGATAGAAAATCATAGTGTAGTCTCTACTTTGTGTAGAGATGGAATGGCTAATCATACAACACTAAATGACCACATTGATTTTCCTTTTTATGAAATGGACCAAGCTCCAAATTTATGTACATGCATAGCAACAACCATTCCATTGGAATGTTGGACATAAGCAGGAGGACAGAGAAGTGTACAACAGGAATTCTCTCAGTCCACACTGGTAGCTTTAAAAGGAATTTCCTATGGCAGCTGGAGTGAGGAAGGAAACGTTCTGGGCCTGGTTCACAAGTGGTTCTGTATGACAGGATGGCTGGCACCCTACAGTGAGGTGACCCTGAGAGCGGCAGGAGAGAGAAATTCTGCTGAGAAGAAAGTTTACATGGTTGGAGTGGATACGTAAGCTTGGTGATCAGGAACTCAGGGTAGATTGGAAAACTGACGCAAAGAGTGGAGTCCGGTACTGGACGGATCTTTCAGAATGGGCAGCAGAGTGAGCGATCAAGCTATTGCACATATAGCGTCGTGTGAAGGGAAGCTTGTGGAAGAGAATGAAGTGAACGCCATCCACTTTCTCCAGTCACCCTAGTGCTTTCGTGGTGGGCTTATGCGCAAAGTGGCCATATTGTCTGAAACAGGGCCTTTGTGTGGGCTCAGTGCCATGACTCTCTCCCAAGGCTAACCGTGTAGATTTGCAAGATGCATCACTACTGCTGAACCTCTAACTAGACACCAGCACAAACCAGCACCGGGTGTGGCATGTTTCCTTGGATGAACAAGCCAGCTGCCTCAACAGTTTGATCATACTGAACACTTCCTCCTGGCATGGAAGAAAGATATTTTTAGTGAAATAGGTACATATTCTAGAAATGCCTTTGCCTACACTGTGTTATAGAACACTACTGCTGGTATCACTCTCCATGGACTCCTTGCCATCACTATCATTTTACTCTGAACAACAGTGCTTCACAGGAATAAACAGAGCTATCTCGTGTCATAAGGAAAGCAGCAGTCTGCTCAAACCCATGGAAGTCACTAATCAACAATGTACTTCATCTCTAGGAAGCACCTGCCCTAACAGAATAGTACAACGCCTATGAAGACTTGGCTGCCTCAGACAATACCTTGGAAGAGTGTGATGCTTAGAGTTGGTTTGTTAATTTAGATAAGGGCTTGTTCTATAGCCCAGGCTGGCCTTAACTCATAGTAGTAACGCTCCTGCTGCAGCTCCTGAGTGATGAAATTATCCGTGTGAATCACCATGCCTGGGTATGGTGCTGTCTTGCAAGATGCAGTGTATGTTTTAAGCCAGAGGTCAAAACATGGTGCCATCCTTCCTATGGCCAGGACAGAGGAATCAAGAGAAAAGTGGGGAGGTGTTGAGGGGCATGGCTCAACTGGGAGAGTTCTAGCGTTGAAAGCATAAAGACTTGAGTTCAGTTTCCCAGGATGCAGTGGTGCAAGCCTGTTACCCCAGCACCAGAAAGACAGAGACAAAGGATCTCTGGGGTTCAGGGCACGGAACCTTTCCTTGAGTTTCCCTCTTGCTTCCCCAAATGAAGGGTGACAGTCCCGGCTGCACAGTGGTTGTGTTGGGGCAGCCACCAGTCTAGCTGAATTAGAGAGCTCCAGGTTGAGCGGGAGTCTTATCTGAAGTGGAAGGCGGACAGTGACTGAGGAAGACAACTGATGCTGACCGCTGGCTTCCATATGCACGCGCACACATAGAACAGTGCACATTCCACACAGACGGGGAAAGAGGGGTCGCGACCCACAGGTTCAGAACCACTGCTGTCGGCTTTACTCCCATGAATGCCACCTTTATAAGAAGAGAGTTGGACATAGGCACAGATATACAAAGATCAGGATACAGGCATACAAAGATGACTCTGTGAAGATGGGACCAAAACAGATGGTTATCTGCAAGCCAAGAGCACAGGCCTGGGAAGAACCAGTCCTGCTGAAAACCCTGTCTCTTACTTGGAGCCTCCGGTATCATGAGAAAATACATTCCCATTCCAGAAAACACCCAGCCTCTAACACTAATCTTGGAAAATTAATGCAACAGCTCATACATAACTTTTATACTCATCTCTGGTTTGCAAAAATAAAATGATGTTAACTGACCAAGCAAAACCCCACTTAAATCAACCTTTTAAATGTTTTTTTCAAATCTTCAGTAACTCAGAGACTTTTGCATGGTAAGCAAGTGCTCCAACACCGAGCTAGAGGCCCGGGCCTGTTCTGCTACACCTCATTTTGAGTTCCTTCTCTCGGAGGCCTGCAGCCTATTTCCCTCTTAATTACCCCAATTAATCTCTAATTCCCAATGATAAAAAAAGACGGCGTTTCTCATTTCGGTTATTAACTTATTAGTTCCTGTTGCTTAGAAAGTAATACATCAATACAGAAGTCTCCCCTTAGCTGGGTTTTTTCTTTCCTATTTCAATTACCCTCAGATAACATAATGCAAAATATTAAGGCTTTTGTAAATAATTAAAACAATGAAAAGTTTTTAGTTGCCATCCCACTCTGAGTATTATGATGGGAATTTGCTTTATCCCGCTCTGTTCCATCTGGGTAGAGATTTCCTAGACATCCTACAGTACACACCAACAGCGAGTCACACAGCCGTCTTCTTTTCCGACTGTTAAGCACGCAGTGCCTGAACTCGGGTCCTCTTCACTTAAGCCTGACGCTAAGCTTCTATGCCTCCACCGAAGTAAAGAAGGCAGGGCTCTGTGAAGGGATGACATTCATTACTCTCTCTTCAGGGTGCAGCTTTCCTGCTGGCGAGTCACCGACTGCCACGCTAAGGTCGTCTCTTGATTAGAGCGAAGGCATGATAACTCTGGCGGTGGGTTACCGGCTCGGTCGGCGAGGCGGAACCAGAATTTAAAGGACCATCTAGCACTGAGATGCATGTCTCCAGCAGGCTCAAATTAAGTGATCGGTGTGTGTGTGTGTGTGTGTGTGTGTGTGTATGTATGGGGCGTGGGTGTTCAGGGCACCAGCAAGCTCGTTTGTCATGAGAAGCACCGTTTTATAACAAGCCACTGCAGAGCCCCGTGAGGCCGAGAGAACGCTTCTGGAATGAAAACCCGATCAGACCCTGTGGTTTCGTCATGTTTGAATTATGTAAGCTAAGAGCAGGGCACCGAACCTTTCCTTGAGCTTCCGTCTCGCTTCCCCAAACGAAGGGTGACAGTCCCCGCCGCGCGCGGGGGCGAGGGGAGCCGCATGCCCAAGCGCACCGGCCTCTGCCAGCGCCTGCCATCGCGCGCCCCTCCGGGATTCCGGGGCCTGGGAAGCTCCGGGCGGGAGGCGGGGAGGAGGCGCCGCGAACTCGCCCCGGGTGCTGGGCCGCGCTCCCCGCGTTTGAAGTCTCCGGCGCGGCCGCTGGTTGGGCGGCGCGGGTCACGTGCGCGCGGGCAGGAGTTTCCCCGACAGCTGGAGGCTGCGTGGGATCCGGCGGCGGCGGCGGCGGCGGCGGCGGCAGCTCGCGGCGCGGCCTTCCCCGCCCCCTCGCCTCGGAGCTTCCGCCGACCCCTCTCCCCCGGGCGGCTGACAGACCGGCCGCGGCTCCGAGGCGCGCGTCGGCAGCGAGCATGGGCGACAAGAAGAGCCCCACCAGGTAGGGTACGGCGGCCCGCCGGCGGCCGCGGTCCGCGAGGCCGGTGGCGCGGCACGGGGTGGGAGGTGGGGGGGGGCGCGGCGCGCGGCTGCTGCCCACAATGGGCCTCGATGGCGGCCTGGGTCAGCGGCCGCGCTCCCCCCCCCCCCTGCGCGGCGCCGGGGGAGGGGAGGGGGGCGGGGCGGGGGTCGCGGGCCGGGCGGGGCGGGGCACGGGGGCCGGGCGCGGCCTGCCGCTGACCCCGCGCTGCGGCGTCGTGTCCGGTTGTGTCCTGCAGGCCGAAGCGGCAGCCGAAGCCCGCCTCGGATGAGGGCTACTGGGACTGCAGCGTCTGCACCTTCCGGAACAGCGCCGAGGCCTTCAAGTGCATGATGTGCGATGTGCGGAAGGGCACCTCCACCCGGTGAGTCCCGCGCGCCCGCGGCCGGCGTCCTCCCCCACCCCACTCCCAGCGCCCTCAACCCCGCGTGACGCGGGGACGGCGGGGCGGCCAGCCAGGCGGCGGCCGCGGTGGGGCGCGACCCAGCTCCGCCGTGGCTCGCGGCGGCGAAGGGGTCGGAGGCCGTAGCGCTCGCAACGACCGCTGCGGAGTATGAATGGTGCTAGGGGGTCGCTGACGGCTGCGATTCTTGTGCGCGGCCGGTGCGGTGCCCCCTCCCCAGCCTGGCACGGAGACGTCGGCCACATTGTTGTTAGTGTGCAGGGGGGTGGGGGCAGAGGGTGGAGGAAAGGCCGCGGTGTCATTCGACCCTCGGGGGGAAAAAAGTGTCTCGTTGTAGGATCGGAATAGGTTAAAGTTTCTTAGTGACGGACGTCCGGAAGGGTCAGGCCAAGGTTTTGCGTCTTGTTTTTGTTCTATTTCTGTAATATTTTGCAGTGAAGTAGTAGAGAAGCGAACTCAGGAACACGTTTTTTACTCCGAATATATGAATCTCTTGAGACGAACGATCTTTTTTTTTTTTTTTGTTAACGTGATCTTTGCCTGTTTTGAGCCTTAAATTTGTTGTGTGTCATAATTGTCTTTAAAAGATAAACACAAAGATTAAGTCTAGGAAATTCAGAATTAGTGACATTCTCCATCTGTCTGCACTTGGAGCCTTTGAATTCACTTCCTAGAATCTTTGTGATTTGTAGCAATATTTAGATAAAGTGTTTATTTTGATGCCTATGAAGCCTATTAAAATACACTTTAGCACAGTAAGAACATTGGGAAGTTTCTTGTTGCTTGAAAAAGAGTCCCTATATAATTTTGACATATTCTAAGTAGTCCAAGTTATTTCTAAAAATGACTTATCTTGGTTTTGAATGCAATTCATAGAATTTTATTAAAAATTTAAGTGTAGAGACGTGTCAGGATTTTATTGTTTCTACAATCCTAGTTGCTTTTTAACACACCTGTCTTGTAAATCTCAATAGGCTTTTACAGTAAATTCTTATTTACATTAGATAACATTTTCAGCGTTTCATGTTCATAAAAAAGCAAGTTTTAAAATACTTTGTAAGTTAAAGGAAAGGTTCTAAAAAGAGAAACTATTTGCTATTTTTGAACTCCTGTTTTAAATGTTTTGAAAAGCAGGATGTATCTTTATAAGTCTGTAAGGCTGGGAATGGGTTAGCATATATAATTGTATATCTATGTATTTATAAATAAGCAATATGTAGAACATTTGACTTTTTTGGGAGGCAGGCATTTTGAAATAGAGACAGTTACTATAATCCTAATCTCTGCTGCTATATTGCTGCTTTTTTTTTGTCCCCCGTATTCCTTTGTCACTATTAGAAAAATGCTGGAATTAGAAGGGCCTGTTTGTTTATTTGCAGGGACAGCATGGAAGGGGGGGGAGCTGGTATCCTACTCTACAGTCAGTCTTGGGGTTAGAGGTGCCCCGAGAAATAGAGTAGGTGGTGCCACTGGGAAGAGAAGCAACAGGCTGAATACCTGGCATCTGGATGGAGAGTATAGTACACAAGGGAGTTGGCTCAGAGGCCTACCTGGGGGCCCCTGACACCTTTTTTTTCACCAGTATATCTGAGCTCTTGTAGATCCAATTTTTAGTGGTGGAAACATTACTTGAGGACTCAGAGAAGCATTGTCATTTGGATTGAAACTGAAGAGGCTCTGGGCAACTCACCAGAAGTCTAAGGGACACTCTGTTCCTAAAAGTAAGTGTTCTGCACTGTGACCCTCTCGGCTTTCTCCTTCCTCTCTCTGCATTATCTCTTCTCTTTTGACTTTGGCCATAAATTGACTATAAGAGCTCTCATTTCTCTGCTTTCTGTTACCTGTCCTTCTGCTGTTTCTGAAATTGAGAGTGGAATCCACGTTCAGACAGAGCAGCAGAACACGTCATTGTTAATAAGTAGATATGATTACGTGCCGAGTATGTCCTTGTCAGGACAATAGGAAAACAATTAAAGGGCGCAGAACACAGATGAAAAACCAAAGTTTTGGTGGTTGGGAGAAATGATTCCCCGCAGTTGACATCTTTATTAGCAGTTAGAGGATTTAAAGAATAAAGCTGGCAAGGACCACAGCAGGAGTGGGTAGCTGCAGAGCCTAGGGATGCAGCTTGCCAAAGCCTTGTTTGTATGACCATTACCCGTATTTGGATCCCTTGGGTCAGAAAGGCCTCTGAACCGAATTTGTCTTATTTGCCAAGTGTGGGGTTAAGCCTAAACCATCTGAAATGTCAGGTCACTACAGAAGGTGGGTTCATGGTGTTTCTTTCAAGATTGTACTGGAATAGATATGTATTTATATATGTATACATATATCTGTAATTTTCTTTTTTTGGAGACAGGGTTTTCTGTGTATCCCTGGCTGTCCTGGAACTTGCGCTATAGACTAGGTTGGACTTGAACTCAGAGATCCACCTGCCTCTGCCTCCAGAGTGCTGGGATTACAGGCATGTGCCACCTTGACCTGGATCATGTGTAATTTTTTTTTAAGCAACTGATTGAGATGCTTTATATTAGAACAGATGGCTGTTTCCTTTGACTCATCTTCAGTAGGTTATATCATTCTGCTGATTGTGGTTATATACTTATCAAGTATGTCAGAATAAAATGTGATTGGACATAACATGTCATTTCTATTATTGAATTTCATTTTGTATTTTATAACTAGTTTAAATTTGTGTAGTTCTTTAAAAAATCTAGAATATGCATAAGAAGATAGTTCAAGGATCTTAAATTTCTATATTATGCTTTTATGTTAACAGTGATAGAGATCAAAAAGACAGTTTTCCTTTGAGTTGGCTTTGCCCTGAAGTTCAGGCTAACCTTGAACTCACAGCATTCCTCTTGTCTTAGCCTCTTGAGTGCTAGGAATACCGGCATGAGCCCCCTCAGACAGGGAGTATTTTAAAAGGAAACAAATAAATAAAACCAAATCCCAAAAAACAGGCACTACGTTGTCAGAGGTGCTGCCTAGTCTCCTATATAGCTGGCTGTTTTAAAGTAAGTATTATAATAAAAACTTGGAGACTTCAGGAAATGAACTGTTCAGTAGTAAGGAAGTATTAAGAAAGGTAATAGAAAGGAAAGTGTTTAAGTATTACCTTGGAAGGTATTAACTGCTGGATGATTGAATTAAGATGAATATCTTCATGTAGGAATGGACAATTTCTTGCTTAATTTGGATAGCAGATAGTTAGAAGTAAAAGTGACAAAGTCATTTACTTTGGTATGAACTGTTGTCTTAATGCTAGTTCGTAAGTCATCCTAGTCCTACAGGCATTCAGGCATGCCTGGTAATGTAATTTTTCAGGGTAGGTGTCTTCTTGGTCTCATTTTGGGGAGATATGAAGATGTCACAGTAGAAAAGTGCTGGTTTTTATGGTGGGCAGGAGTCTGATAACTCCATGTCTCATTTGAGCTTTGCACCAAGTTTCTCTAGTGTCTTTGATTGTACAGATCTGAGATAGGTACTCCCTGTAGTGAGGAAATTGTAGTTTCTTTGCTTTTGTTAGTGTTTTGTGGGTGAGAAACACTTTGGGCTTTATATAATTTTGTAGTAAGGGGCTAGAAAGGTGGTTTATCAATTAAGAGCACAGGTGCTTTTCCAGAGGACCTAGGTTCCATTCCCAGAACTCATTTGGCAGCTCATAACCTTCTGTAACTCCAGTCTTAGAGGCTCTGATGGCCTCGTCTGGTCTCTGTTAGTAACAGGCACATACACGATATATAGATATAAATGCAGGCAAAACACTCAGAAAATAAATAAAAAATAAATTCTTTATGTGAGGTATTATATTTTTAGTGTGATGGAAGAGATAAAATTACCTATTAAAATATGTATACTTTATAGCTAACACAGTATTATGGTTAGGAGTTGACTCTTGGTAAAAGGTTATTTCAGCTTCTATAAAGTAGGAATAAACTATAAAGTACACATCTGAAGAAATTCTATAGCAACCACCTGTATCAGGTGAAAGTGTTTACAGTGTAGCTATTATCTGTCACAGTGGCTTTCTGTTTGTTAGTTTGAGGTTTGGTACCAGTTTTTTATAGACACTTGGTATAGAAATAAAAGAAGCAAAACAAGGGCCATCTAATGGTCTGGGTTTTCTGTTGAAACACACAGTTTCTTATCCTCCACTACTTGAAGAACACTTTCACTTGTTATTTAGGTACTTATTCTCAAGGGCTTATCCTCTGTTTATCTTAGGTTAAAGAACTCATACAAATTCGTTGTTTAGTAGGGAAATTGTGAAGGGGATTAAGTGTTTGGATTGTATCTAGTAATAATTTTCAGAATGCGGAAGGAGGAACCTTCTTATTTTATAATAGTTAATCTGTGATGTCCAAGCTGTTTTCCTAACAGCACTGAGCTGTTGTTCATCATTCTCACTGTTAACTGTGTGGTGAAATGTGAAAATGTTCGTTTCAGTGTGAGTCAAAGCAGAACCGCATGCCATTGTAGTCAGTGTGCCCTTCCCCACCCTCTGCTGAAAACCCACCCAAGAAGCAGGTAACGGGTAGTCTGACAAAACGGGAAGCACATGTGTAGCTCTTCTGCTGGAGACAAAGGAAGATGCTTGTGCTGCCTCTGGTGCAAGTCCAACTTGCTGTTTTCACTTACGTGAAGGGCTGCTTTCACTTTAAAGGCAACCTGGACGATCATAATTATTCAGATGTGAGTCTTTCACAGGTATTTTCTGAAAGTAAGCGCAGTGAGTTTGTCTCTGTCAAGAGAAAATTTGATGGTGTTTTTTTTATTAGTGATATAAGCCAAGTGAAAACCCATAATCAAAATAATGAGCTTTGGTACTTCTGAATATTCAAAAGTTTTTGTATACAGCCCTTTTACGTTTTGCTTTTCTCCATATTTTTTTGTCTGGTAAGATAAGTAATGATATCAGTGAATGTAATTTCTGGTATTTTCTTGAACTGTCTCCATAT